GTGATTTTTGGCAGATGTCTTGCCAGTAGATCCCGTCTGGCAGGCCAGAGCCTTCTGAAGACTTGCACTGCTTTCCAGCATGGGAATCAGTGCCCTGTACGCTCCGTCCCAGAATTCATCATTTCCTTTTCTGTATTTCATGTGGAGGCTTTCCATCAGCCAATCCGCCACTTCTTGCAGGCCCAGTTCTGGCGATCAGATGTCCCCTTCCTGTCTCTTATACACATCTAGATGTGTATAAGAGACAGGTGTTTATCTCTATTTCAATTGGTGTTTGGCCGAAGGCTTCCTCGAAAAGGTCCTTCATTGGTTTTCCTCTGTGGGGTCGCCATAGTCTCCCTGTCCTCCCTTTAGAGCCGCCGAAGTGTCATTTGTTTGGTGTGGTGTGCTGATTGTGTTAGACTTCTTACTCTTGAGTTTCGATTCCTTTTGCTGTCCTCCACATCTCGTTTGCTCAGTCAGCAGATTCCCAGTTGGCAGGTATTCCATCGCTACCGGGCCCAAGCCCTGTTTTTTCTGTTTCTTGTACGATAGCTTGAGTGGCATGTTTGGATGCTTGTCTCTCTCCTTGGGGGCTGTCGGCAGTTTGGGATCTGATGTTTTTGTTTCTGGCTCCGTGTTGAGGGGAGGGGCCTTTTTGGGCTTCTTGAACTCCTTTTGAGGGGGGAGGGGAAGGGGGGGGGGGGGTCCAATCGTTGGGTGGCCTGGTGGTCCTACATGGGTCCCAACGTCCTTCCCAACTCCAGCCTTTAGTTTGTCCTTTGGGGTCAAGATCCTCTAGAAACACCCAGCCCTCATGACTCGGGTCCACTATGTACCACCTGTTGGGTCTGTGTGGGTCACGTTGGAGGCAACCTGCTGTTGGGCCCCTTTTGTTGGGGTGCTGGGGGCAGGCCGATTCCGTGATCAAGTGCCCGTACGCCCTGCAATTGAAGCACTAGGACCTGAACTTATGCGCTGTGTGAATTTGATAGACTTTCCCTCCCATCCTGAAAGGGACAATGTCGTCTATGGAGAAGGGCTGGTCTTTGGGAAGGTCCAATGCCAGCATCATGTACTCGTCCCTTTTTGCGACACAGGAGGGGAGTGGGTCGATGAAGTCTATGATATTGTACTGTTGGCCGAAATCGTAAACACAGGCAGCCTGCACTTCAACCGGGATATGTCTCCAACTCCACCCAGAAAAAAAAATCATCAATTGTTCCCTTTTCTCTTCTGGGCTCAATTTCTTTGGTTGCCAAGGGGAGATGCGCACGTCTGACCTCTCCCTTCTGAGTGAAGAGGCTGAAAACTGTGAATACCGTTGGTGAGAGGGGTTGGATTAAAAAGAATTATTGGACCGCCTTGGCACTGCCTTTCATCTCTTCCAGGCGTTTGCAAATCCATCTTATTTTTATTGCAATGTTGACTGATTTTTTAGCAACGTTTCGATGGAACAACCAGTTGCTTGCATGCTTAATGTAGACGTTATCTCTTGCTTCCAGTTTATCGGTAGGGTATGTCTTTATCATTGTTTTTCTTCCTCCTTGGTCCACCACTTGATTTTCTGAGGGGAGGAGAAAAAGGTTGAGAAAGTACGCCCTACCAGATGAGAGGTTACGAAGGGGTACATTCAACACTTGTCTTTCCTTGTTGATCTCCAGGGGAGTCACGTTTGATGGCGAGGGTTTTCTCCTGAATTGTGTTCCCAATTCATTGTGCCCATGAGGCTTTTGTTTCTCCGTGGCTGTACTTTGTTCCATCTTGGAGAGTTCTTTTTGTTTCTTACACTGTGTGTTTTTCCTCTTCTGTCAGCAGTTCCTCGTCGCCCACACCTTCCTCTTCCATTTCTACTTCCTCTCCTTCCTCACCCTCCTCTGTATCCATTATCAGGTCTTGATCTGGGGATGTTCCTTCCGGTGTCGTGTTCCCTTTTCTTTGGCGGTCTTCTGCCCTGGTGGTCAATGTTTGGTCAGACGCCACCTTGGTTTTCTCTTTGTTCGGATTCCCTGGCAGGTGTGGTCACTGGTGTTGGCTTAATTGTTCCTCTCCTTGGGCGGGGGGGATTGCATTCTGTTGCGGGGGGGAGAAGGGTTGTTTGGGGGGGGGGAGCCTTCCTATTCATCATGTTCATCGGTCTTCCATAAGGGCTCATTGCCAGTTGTCTGTTCAGGTTGTGCCTCATGGCCCCCTGCGAAAATATGAGGGATCCTGCCCCCGCTGGCCCTCTTGTGTACCCTAATTCCATTTTGTGCTTCTGTGATTTTGCAAGTTATTTTTTGTGAAAAAAAAAAAATCTTGTATTGTCTGTGTTGTCTGTGCTGTCTGTGCTATCTATGTTGAATTTTTTCTTTGGGTTGGAATGATTGGTCTACGATTGTCTTGGTAGTTAGCTTCGCTGGCTTTGGGGACCCTGGGACTCACACCACTGGCTGGGAGGCGGGCTGAAAGGAGAAAGGGTCTGGGCTAGGGGAGGAACGGAAAGGTTGGGGGGTACTTGTCTGACTTGTCGTTTGCTCGTTTCCTGCCTTGTCTTTAAAGTCCTCCTTCCACCGGGTGGAGCTGCTCTTCTGTCCTTCCGGCTATTTTGATATTTTCTTTTCTTTCTGCTGCCACTTCCGCGAACCTCATAACCGACCTCCTTTCAACCCTCCATGAAGAACTGTGGTCTTTGCTCCTCTACTCCTTTTTTCCTTTAATCTTGGATATCTCATCCGGCCATGTCTTTTGTTGTAGGTTTCATCCCTGCTTGTTTGCTATTATCGTCACTTTCTGTCTCTTTGTTGTCTCTGTCTCTTCGCCCAGATCTTTCGTCCCCGTCAAGTCTCTCTTCAACTTGGTCTCGCTGATACCAGTCGATGTTGTTGCCTTGTTCTTTGTCTGTCACTGTTCCAATCGAATTTTCACCTCCTTTTCAAAGGTCTCCACTGTTCATCCGTTTTTCCGAGTTGCTCTCCTTCGCGCACTTCAGTTCTGCCAATGGCTTACTCCACAGCGACTCTTCAGGCACCTGCTGATGTCGGTGCCCTTCCTCACCCTTTGCCACGTGTCGAGAAGCATAGCGGTTTTGGAGTCATAAGCGGAACCCCCTGTCCAGATGGTCGCATCCGGTTGAAAATCGGTTGTCACCCCCTTCCAGGGAGCCTAGAAGGCTTACAAATTATTTCTGATTCTGACGAGTACGGAGGATGTAACCAACTGGCGCGTGGCAACTGTTGCCGCCCACCAAACTTTGCCAAAATTGACAAACTCAGGCCATATTGAAATTCAGGGGGCCGCCTTCACTTAGGGCGGGCTCATGCTTGCTGAAAGGGCCCTACAGGGGTATGCCGAGTATCTAACTCGTAACAAGGCCTTGTCGAAGATCCATGCCCACATAGGGGTTCCAACAGGCATTGACACATATTTGCAGGCCGGCCTTCACTTAGGGCGGGCACAGCACCTTTCCAACACTGCTGAGGTACTAAATCCTCACACAGGCGCGCATGAACCCCTCCTCCTTTCCCTACTCCCACTTGTCATCGCACCCCCCCGCCCCTCCTCTCCTCGAAGGTGCAAATGAGAATGGATCTTCCGCTAGAACATGGGGAGACAGGTGCTCATGAATAATGAGCCGTTCTCCCCCTCCTCCTTTCCCTCCTCCTCTCGCTTGTGGTGCTCCTCCTCGGGTTCAGTGAGATTTGCTCAACTACTCACCAAAGGTGCAAAATGAGAATGAATCTTCCACTAGCAGAGAGCCAAAACTCAAACGCGTGTGGAGAATTAGTCTATGTTGTATTCGAACATTGGGGGACACGGTGCGGCCCCGACACGAAAAGCTCGCAGAGAAACTACACAAAAAGTCGGCGCACACGAAAAGACAACCGGAATTAGAACGCGCGACCAGCCTCGCGGCGCCCCTCGCAAATCTGAATAGGAAACCCGGCTCCGGCCTTTCCCGACGTCAACGGCGACACCTACTCCACAAATCCGAGGAAAGGAAATTCCCTTGTCCTCGTGTGAAATGGCAGGCCCGAGTGGATGAACACCACCCAGTCAATCGAAAACCGTTGTTAGGTATGGATTCGAACGTCAGTCTGTGTTTCGACAGCCCTTCTTTTTTCCGCGGTTCCCGCACTGGTCTGTGTTTCGACAGCGCCTTTTTTTTCTGCGGTTCCATGATGTCATGTGAGGACCGGGTTACGCTTTAGCAGTATGAGAGAAATCTGGTAGCCTATTATTAGTGACTAAGAAGAGCGGAAGAAGTATCCCAGGGCAAGTCTGGGAGTCAATCCTTAGCCAGGACAAAAGGAAGCACAAGTTGAGTATACCGATGTAAATGTATTTGACTTGCCGGCGGAAAAGGAACCAGACTGATGTTTTCCAGAATGGAAGGAGCCAGGACCATAAGGAACTGTTTCCAGAACAAAAAAAATAAAAAAAAATGAAAAGGGATACATCCCTTAGATTTTGCATGTCGGCTTCTAACCCATCTTTTGGCTCTGTAGGGGTCTCCATACCAAATGCCTTTGACTGAGACATGGACCAGACCATGTTCTGTAGGACCGAGGGCCATTCTGACGGACTATGGGACCCTACAGAGCTGTTTCGTAGGCCCTGCCATGATTTAGAACTTTGGTGCACAGTCCGAGGGCCATTGCAGTCTGTGTGTGAAGGGCCATCCCAAACATTCATTACAGACAAAATACACCCCCCTGCCCGCCCCCCTCCCCCCCCCCGGCAGTGCGGACAAAATACCTTCCAGGCCTAGACAAAATATCTCCCAGGCCTAGAAAAAAACAGAATCTCAATATTCCTCCCAAGAACAGGCAAACCAGGACAACATGTATGGTGTTCTCTTGTCATGCATTCGTTTGACGCCCATTGTTTGTATGACCTCAGTGTCGTTATATGCCTTGGTTCTTGGTGTGGGACGTATGTCTCCATGCAAGGCATTAACCTCTTTGAGTGTGTGTTACTGTGTATGATGTGTGACTGAGTTGGTGTAACGGATGCTAATGTGTGCAACTTGTGGTTTGCAGATTATTGATGAAATTGATGGCGTCTCTAATGGAGCAGAGGGAAAAGGGGCGATTGATGCACTTCTAGATATTGTGAGTTGCTCTGTTTTTGGGTTGAAGGGAAGGGGAAGGAACTTTTGTTGCTATCATGCAATTGGAGGCTGGCAACCATCTCGACAGCTATTGAGATGCTGGAAACCTTGTCCAGTGTCCCTTACATCAAAAACTCACCCAACGCTTCCCTCCATGATGGTAGAGGGACACTGCGATGACAGCACTGATTAATCCTTCCAAGGAGGATTTACCACCACTCCACCCCTGTTCCTCTTGTCAGACCTCTGTCTGTACTTCTCCCCTATTCTAGTATTTGCAATGAACCTCGCAAGATTCAACTCAAAAGTACAACATGCAAATTGTAAAACACTCAGATGAAGCTCACACAAGCTTGAGCGATGTCCATGAACGGTGCCAATTCGAAGTTCCACTCAATTACAACAATATACAATTGAAAAAGTTCGGGACTGAGCGGTCTGAACCATTGCAACAGGACTCCGGTAAGTACCCGACTTCTCCCCCCTTCCGATCTGCTTCTCTCTCTCTCTCTCCCTCTTACTCTCTCTCTCGCCTAGTTGCACTGTTCATCCCTCAATGCTCCTCTTTGCTGTTCCTCGCTCACTGTTCCTCCACCGATGTCCTAGATCTACCCTGAATGCCCCTGCGGTGTGCCTTGCGGATCTCAGGTGGCCATGGTCACCGTTGGCTTCCACCGTCTCTGCCTGGCTATGGTCACCTGCAGCGTCCAAGGATATTGCTTACCTTCTTCCGCAGCACTATTTCTCCGTTCAGATCGCTAGTCCGCACAAGCTCCGGCAGCGCTTCCACAACTTTGCGAAATCAACAACTGACTGCGTTCCAACACTGTAGCCCAAAATATATAGTTGCAGTGGGCTGATTGTGACTGCTTCAGTCGGTACTGGCCTCCTTCGGCCTCTGCCTTGCGAAATTGCTATTTTGGGAAAGTTCCCGACTTTCTTGTGAGGCTGCTGCAAAATTGGAGTTTCGGGCACTTGACGTGCTCCTACAGGTACTGTACAGTACTGTAGCCTACCGGCCTGCAATCCTGATCCTACAGGCCCTGAGACTCTAATCCATCGGGGCCTTGAACTGGGATAATTCAGGACCCTGGAACCAGGACTGGGAAAGCTTGCAGCGTGAATCCATTCAATTTCCTCTTGGACATTCTGGCCACCAATTCAATCCTTGCCTCCCTGTCGAGTGCATTGTCAACATCTACAATACTACAAGAATCGCTAACGTCATATCTACCGGCCCAGGTTGCGGCCCGGTCACCACCCGCGGACGGCCCAGATCGCAGGCCGATGAGAA